AGGCCGAGGGTGGACCATGAGGCCAGCTTGAGCAAACCCTGCTCTCAGCCAACACTGGGCACCCAGGGGCCACTTGCTCCTGAGGAGCCAACCGAGAAGCAAGGATTCCGCCTACCACGTGCTTTGAATGAGCCACACAGATGCCAACAGTGGGTCCACCGTCTCTCAACCCACGTGTCGGGGTAAACTCCTCCCTGTCCCCTTCGAAGTGACCATGCTTGTTCTTCAGGTGCCCATACCGCTCCCAGGACACAGGCTGAGTCAGCCCGCTGAGATGGTGTGTCGCTCAGTGAGACGTTACTGTGGGCTCCTGTGGGAATGGAGCCAGCAGCAGCTCCTCTTCTAAGGTGGGGTGAGGGTGCACTGAGCACAGGGTTCACGCCTTGGAAGGACAGAGAGGCGACAGCCCTCTTGGCACCCTCAGAAGAGGGGGTGCCTGCCAGCCCCGCCCAGCTCCCCACAACTCGGTGCCCACCAGGCAGGATGTTCATGAGCTTGTTGCTGACACAGAGCAAGGCCAGGTCGCTGGCGAACCCTCCTGAGCCCCCTGGGGACTCCCTCGGTGGCATCAGGAATGTAGGAAGTCCCACCATCAGACTGCAAGGGCCCGATGTCCGAGGCCACAGTGGAGGGGCCATCAACCATGCTGGAAAAGCTGTAGGATGCACACACCTCTGCAAGGTGCTCCCGCTTCTCCTGTGGGGCACCCCCACCTTCTTCCTGCCTTCCTGAAACCATGCAATCACAGCTCTCCCCCTCTGCGCAGGAGACTCCCACAGGGAAGGCCCAGGCCAGAGACAGTTGGTCCCTGACTCACCCTAACGCCTGTCCCAGAGCTGACCTCCACTCAGCAATGTCCAGTCAGTGGCTGGATGAATGTTATGCTGGGAGCTGCCTCATGGCACCCAACATCAGACACCCCAAAAGTTCTGCAGTAAATAGGCAATGACCCGGTTTATGAAGTGTCACCAAGGGCCTTTCCTTCATAATTATATGGTTTCCTTGTAAATGGCCTTAAAAAATTATAACCAACGACAAGCATACATTTAGCATTCATTTCATTCTTTCCAAACAACCTACAACATAATGGACATAACCAACCAGCAACTGCAAATTAAGATTTTTGTAGGTCATGATTTAAAAAAAAAAGAAAAAGAAAACAACCCAGCCCCGCAGCAACAGCCCTGCTGATTTTGCTCCGGATGAACAAGACTTGTGACATCCCTAGTCTATGCTTAATGCAGGAGCAACCGCACGGGTCACTCAGTCTCTCTGCATGGCTGGGACAAAAATGCGGCACGAGCAGGCAGCTTCTCCTGAGCGTGGGAACACAACATCAAGTGAATTTAATTATAAGGTTAGCAAGAAGAACTCTAACCTAGAAATTTATAAAATTTATAAAACTGCAAACCAACATTGTTTCAATTCAGATTAAGACAAAATGACACAGTCTGCATTTTCTCCAAATTCCTTATGCATCCCTAGACTTGGTGGTCCATTTGCACCTATGCACAAAGAACCACCCCAAACAATTCCATTAAAGAAGTAAATTGTGGGGTTTTTTTTCAGTATGGAAAACAACATATCTGAACATCTCTCACTCTCTATAAACTGTCAGCATTGGTGACAAACTCTTCAGAAGTTTCAATGCAGAGCCTATTTTAAATGCCCGCTGTATGAGCATCACTCTGCCTGAAAGGTGCAGCGTCTGAGGCTGCGCTGTCCGCCCACAGGGTACGAGCACCGGCTGTAGCTTCACAGGGTCATGGGCTCCATGCCAAGGGGGCCACACAAGGAAAGCTGGTACAGGCAGTCCTTGTGGGGAGTGCAGTCTCATCTTGGAAAAACTGGGGTGCTTGTCTGAGATCTTGCCATCACAGCTGCCAGAGCCAGTGAAGGAAGCCTCTGGAAACCCCAGTCTCTCCATCTTCCTTACAGACAGAAACTGTGAACAGAAGCCCACGCAGACACACTTCTTTCCATTCTTTTTCCCAACAGGGAAACGGGACCAACGACACTGTGCATCTGATCTCTCCTGCCATGTGGCTGAGAGCTCCCGTCAGCCCCCCTGGAGGCAGGGTGGGGATCCCTGCAGGGCACCGGGGGGCGTGCTGAGGGGCCAGGGCCCAGGGCTGGATGACCTCCCCGCTGCTGCCCTGCCAGCACTGGATGTCACAGCATCTTCTGACATCTTTTCGTTTCCAACCAGAAAGTGACAGAGATTCCAGAGTCTACGACTGTGGACATCTAACAGGCATCTCCTGGACTCTGTGGGGGCCGAGGGCTAGGGATACACATATTTGCACATATCTGTGGTTCTTAAACTTTGCCGCTCCCGTCTCCTGTCAGGATCTGGTGAACGACACAGAGCTGCGTGCAGGCCCCGCAGCTCTTATGAAGGCGCCCCTCGTGTCCCCCAGGAATCACACCCTCAGATGCCGCACTGTCTCCCACTTCCTTCATGCTCTGGGCCCGGCTCAGACCTTGGCAGCACTGGCCACATGCTGCCTTCTGTCTGTCACGGTCAGTTTTGTGCCCACTTGGGAGTCTGCGTCTGCAGTTCCTCAAACACTCAGCTGTGTGCTGCCGGGAAAGGTTTTGCAGCCGTGACTCAGGCCCATGACCAGCTGACTTCTGGACAATGCGGCCAGTCCCATTCTAGCAGAGAGTGCTCACGATGAAGCTGTGGCTGCTGGCTTCCCACTCGCCTGAGGGTTATAGCAGCTGGTGACATCAGACTCCTGCCGTCAGGAACCCAGGACACACACTGGCCCTCATGATACCACCTCAGCCGAGAGGCCACTTCTCAACGGAGTGCGACTGGGCACTTCCGAACCTCCCACACGTCCCGCCTTCTGGAAGCTTCCAGCCAAAAGAGCAGTGTAGTAGCTTCTCAAGATGCAGCTGAGAGGCCGTTTTTATCTTCTTACAGGCATATTTCAAGGGCATGCTTACATTAAAAATGTGTAACTTTAAGCAACGTAAGTGTAGTTGCAATTCAGGTACTCAGAACCTTCCGCATCTAACTTAACACTAACACGCCTCCCATCCCTGAGGACAAGAGCCCTTGTAGGGGGCATGAGCACGCATTTACAGGGCTGACCAGCAGCCGAAGACCCCGAGTCACAGCGTCAGGTGTGGGGCTGGGCAGCTGGAGAAAGCAGCAGAAAGTCACTGCACTAAATCCAAAGCTCCAAAACAAAGGGCCATTGGAAGAGAATGAATTCATCTGTGTGAACAAGTCATTCAAGCTCCTTGGAAATTCTGTCGTGTTGTGCACTTCTGAGCCTCCCCTCCTTGAGCACCTCACACCATGGAGGTTTCCCGATGGCCTGCTGAGCCCCGCCTGCCCAGGAATGGGCTCTACACACACCCGGGGACTGTCTGGGGACAGTCTGGGGACGGCCTGGGGGATGGCCCGGGGGACGACCCAGGGAATGGTCCAGGGACGGTCTGGGGATGGCCTGGGGGACAGCCCGGGGACAGTATGGGGATGGCCTGGGGGAAGGTCTGGGGACAGTCTGGGGATGGCCTGGAAACAGTCTGGGGACGGCCTGGGGGATGGCCTGGGGACAGTTTGGGGGACGGTCTGGGGATGGTCTGGGGATGGCCTGGGGGACGGCCCGAGCCCTCCAGCACCCAGAGCGTGTGAGAAATGCTGAGCTCAGGCCCCACCTGATGCCCAGATTCAGATCCCTGGGAGCTGGTGTGCACGAGACACTGGAGAAGCTTCATGCGGGTGTGGACAGGGCACACGGCAGGAGCAAGCAGAGCCTGGAGCCAGGGGAGAGGGGGGCCGTCCACTGGGATATAACTGGCACTCTGGTTTGAACGTAGTCCTGCAGACCTTTCTGTTTCACACTTTCTTTTTTTTTTTTTTTTTTTAATTTTTTTTAATTATTGGACAGAGAGAGAGCACAAGCAGAGGAAGCAGCAGGCAGAGGCAAAGGGAGAAGCAGGCTCCCCGCTGAGCAGGGAGCCCGATGTGGGGCTTGATCCCAGGACCCTGAGATCATGACCTGAGCCAAAGGCAGACGCTTAACCGTCTGAGCCACCCAGGCGCCCCTTCACACTTTCTAAAATCAGTGATCATCACAGTAATTCAGACATTTTCACTAAAACATCAGGCAGACGTCTGAGCAGTGGGAGCTGGGGTCAGACCCGGGCTCTGGGGGTCAGCCACCAGGGGTGAGTGACCCTGGGCCCACAACGCCCTCCGGGTCCACGTGGGCCTCCTTGTTGGGAGACGAGTGCCCAGGGAGATGGACCAACTGGGGAGCCCTTCCAAAGTTGAGAGCTGCAGTCTGAGGTTTTCCAGGTAATAAGATAACCCTTTAATCTGCTGACACATGAGAGTACTCAGCCTGGTTTCCATGTCCCGGGCACATAGCCTCTGAAATGCTGATGAAAATAAAATGAAACCAAGAAGACCTCTGTGCCCATTGGAAGCAAAGCATGCTGCCCCAAATAAGAGGCACGTTCTCCTTCTCAGGAGCAGTGGGAGTGTCCAGAGACACAGCAGTCACTGATCACGCTCTGATGGGGCAGTCTTACCCTACGGAAGAGCCTTAACACAAACAGCAGCAATGGTGCTTCCTCGAAGGGGACGACAACTCAGAGACAGATGCAGGACTCGCACACACCAGGGGCAGATGCAGGATACCCCGGGGACAGACGCAGGACTCATGTGCACTGGGAACAGACGCAGGATACACCGGGGACAGACGCAGGACTCACGCATGTCAGGACAGATGCAGGATACACTGGGGACAGATGCAGGACTCACGCGTGCCAGGAACAGATGCAGGATACACCAGGGACAGACGCAGGACTCACGCATGTCAGGACAGACGCAGGACTCACGTGTGCCAGGACAGACGCAGGACACACACATGCTGGGGACAGATGCAGGACTCGTGTGTGCCAGGGACAGACACAGGACTCATGAGCTGGGGACAGATGCAGGACACACACATGCCGGGGACAGACGTAGGACTCACACTTGTCGGGTGCTGGGCAGCAGCTTCCAGTTGTAGCCTCACCCTCTGAGGCATCATCACGTCATCCTGAAGGAAAGAACACAGTTTAAATTCACATAAAGTAACTCCCACAAACAAGAAAGAAAAAGACATGGGCACCTGGGTGGCTCAGTCATTAAGCGTCTGCCTTTGGCTCAGGTCGTGGTCCCGGGGTCCTGAGATCGAGCCCTACATTGGGCTCCCTGCTCCGCGGGAAGTCTGCTTCTCCGTCTCCCACTCCCCCTGCTTGTGTTCCCTCTCTCACTGTGTCTCTCTCTGTCAAATAAATAAAATCTTTAAAAAAAGAAAAGAAAAAGACGGAACACCTAACAGTGAAATGGGCAAGCGATGGGAACAGGCAACAGAGATGCTACATACAGGCCCAGGAACCCCATGAGTCAGTGGGGAGATACTGGCAACCTCCACAAGGGCACACACTCTGGGCGTCATCCAGCAGTCTGAGGATACACACCCCTAAGATGCAACAATTTTACCCACTGGGGAAAAGACTCCTGCACGTGTGCATCAGAAGACATACAAAAATGCTCACGGCAGCAGCATTCAAACAGAACCAGCCGATGTCTGGGATGCCAGAATGGATAAATCGTCTAAGTCACTACAGTCAGTGCCAGTCACCAGTGAAACTAAGGCACAGCTACACCAACACAAATAACTCACAGACACGTGCTGGGTGAAAGATGCAAGACAAGAGAAGATACATAGTACTGTACCATTTATTTAAAACTCAAAATTAACCATATTATTTAAGAAATGTAGACATAATGCAAATTCTAGAGAAAAGCAAGAAAATTATATTTCTGAAGTTGGAATAATGGTCACTCTGCAAGGGGATGGAGGAGCCAGTGTCCCTCTGGGGTACTGGCCACATGGCAACTTCCTGACCAGGAGCTGCTCACGTATATATTTGCTTCCTAATCAATCCTCAAAGCACATGAATGTTTTGTGCATTCTTCTATAGGTATATTCTATTTTACAATAAAAAAGCATTTCAGTGTTTTGTTTCAGGGTGCAAATGTACCCAATGTAAGAACTAAAAGTACTGTCACTGGGAAGATACTATCTTTAAACTGAGCAATAAACTAAAAGGCCTGTACTTCTACTCATATTCCTGCAAAATGGCCTCATGAACATTGTGCTCATCAAATCACCTGTGACAAATGGAGTTGGGGGGGCCTGTGGCTGAGGCAGGGAAGGAGGAGGAGGAAGGGGGAGGAAGATGAGGGGAAGGAAAATGGGGGAGGAAGGGGGGAGGAGGAAGAAGGTGTGGGGGCGCAGGAGGAGGAGGAAGGACACAGGAGGTGCCGAAGGGCAGGGATGGAGGGCAGGTCCTGCACCAGACGCAGCAGAGCCCCGAGCTGAGCAGGCAGGAGGATGGAGTAGGAGGAACCTGGGGTGAAAGACTGTCAGAACAGGAGCGGAAACAAAACCCTGAGCAAACTCGAGGCTTTTCCAATCCCTGAATCCCTCCCTGGCTAAAGCCAGGGGCACACTTATGGCAGCATGCGGGGTCGACCAAGCTGGGAACCTTGAAAGGGACACAGGAGAACTGGGGAGCTGCAGCAGAACAGAGGGGCAGGCGAAGTTGAGGGGGCACAAGAGGTCACACCCCAGGTCAGCAAGACAGCAGGGCAGGGGACAAAGTGGCAATCTCCCTTAAAGGGAAGGTCTGCTGATCAAATTCCTGAAAAACGGCTCCCGTGTCTGGTGGCCTCACGCAGAATTTTACAAATTTCTGACCATCTCCTAAACCAGTTTTTGATGCCTGTATCGGGTTACATGTGGGAACGGGTAAAAGCCAGCACACAACCGTATGGGTATTTCAAAAAGGTCACAGGTTAGGGTTAGAGCTGGTCTCTGCCCCATGGCATTACCCCCCTGGACCCTATGCAGGGCTGCAGAATGTGGCCTGGGGTTCAAGGCACAGCGCACCACCACAGAGGGAAGCACGGTTACCTGTGAACCCCGGTGAGCACCCAGAGATCTACACCCCAGTCTTCTGACCTCCCATCCCCACAACTCACCAGCGGTGCACAGGCCCCACAGCACGGGGAAGGGGCACCTTGTGTGCCTTTCTAGAACGCGGGCCAGCCCAGTCCTGTATTTGGTTGGCCCTCAGAAATACTTGCAGGACAAATGAAGTGTCCACTTCAGACTGAACAGGGTTTTCAATTACTCCATCATTTACAAAACACTCACATATACTCTTTTTTTGGATCTTTATCATGAGGAGCTAAAGTTATCCCTGTTTTGTAGCCAAAGGAAACAAGGCTTGAAAAGGCTACGTCTTACCCCCAAGATCTCACAGCAATTACATACCAGGGTTAAAATTTGAATATGGGATTAACTGAGAAACCAACCTATGCTAACGGCAAAGCTGCCCAGAAATTCCCAGCTCTCAAGAACATTCCAGTGCAAGTTTCCACCACCTCCTGAAGTAGAATCACTCCCGGGCGTCTAATGTCAACCCCTGGGGTCCACAGAGTGTCCTGGAGGCAGCTGACATGCTCACTGACAGTAGCTGAGAAATTCAAGGAGGAACGCAATGAGCAAACACTGAAGCCAAAACCCAAACAGCACGACAGGTACACACTGAGTGCACAGTGGCCCGTGGGTCACAGAGAAGCCCCTTGTTCTCCGAGACCATCATGAGAGAAGAAAAACTGGCCGAAAAGATGGGAAGATGAAAAGGTCTTTATTACACATGAAAACCACGCGGTATTTTAATAAGAAGCCCAAATGTGTGTCTGCCGGGGGCCGTGATCTGCACCACCTTTCATGCTAGCGCTCGTGCTAGAAAGGGGGCAGCTCTGGTCCAGGTCCACAGGGCTCACAGCTGGTGCCAAACATCAGGAGCTAGTTTTAACAAAAGTCAGCTGGTATTTGAAATGCAAAGGAGAGGAGCCCAAGGGCTGGATATATAGTCCTGACCCCACGGAGCTCAGAAGCCTGTTGGAGGGAGGGCTCAGAAGCCTCCATACTTGTTTGCCTGAGAGCATGCAAGATCCCCAGACTGGCTGGAATTCCACAGTGATACCCAGTTCAGAAACAATGATCTTGGGAAGCCTAGAGCAAAGGATTTTGATGTTTTATAAAAATAACATTAATTCGGAATGAAATGCTGTTTCCTTTCTGACCACAAAAATAACGGGTAGGAAAAAACTCATCTAGTCAAAGAATTTTGTAGTTAAAAGAAACCTGGAGCTTCAAGTTAAGTAGCTTCTGAGTTTCTCTAGTGTTTCCCTTTTCTCTGTTTCTATTTCTGAGTGAGAATTCTGAGTGAGAATGGTCCGGGGAGAGCATGGCTGTGGGCTCTTGGGGACCACCACCATCAGGCAAAAGCTAGAGGCGGACAGAAGCCTGGGACACGTGGAGTATGGGATGGGCTGCCTGCAGATGAAAGTTACCCTCAGCCACAAGAAGATCTCCCTCTATGGCAGAATGAAAAGTTGATTTTGGTTTTTTTTTTGTCAAGTGTCCTTATGCTTGGCTTTCAGACATGTAGACTGGAAGACAGGCAAAAGTTACGTGGTCAGGCCTCCACACTCAGGACCCACACTCCAGGTTGAAAGCCTGCTTCCAAAGCACAGGGTCAAGGGACTTACATATGGTAGCTTCCTGTGTGTCTCTGCTCAAACTCCGAGTTACGGAAAAGTTTCCTGCTCACGGTTTGCTACATAGCTTGAGCATGCCAGGTCGTGCCCCGAGTTCAGGTGCCTCCAAATTCCACCTGGCAGAAGTGACACACTAAACTCCTGCTCTGTTCAGCTAAGAGATGTATCAAATATTTTAAAAGTCTGCAACAGTAACGGAGAGTTAAGGAGAAGCACTGGCAGGCACTGGGCTCAGATCCACATGAAGGTATAAACCCAGAAAACACAAGCCACTTTTGCCCCGAAGGCCTCGCTGATCCTGGTTCTGAGAGGAGGGAAGTCAGAGACCAGGCTGCTCACAACTGGGGAGGGGGGCGGGTGCTGCTCAGGCCGAAGCCCCGACCTTCCCAGGGTGAGAGGGGTCTGAGGTGCACTGCCCTGGTGGTCCCAGGATGGCGGCTCTCCCAGGTACCCGGAAAAAGCAGGGAGAACCTCGGAGGAAGTGGACTCTTGTCTGAGGCCTCAAACTGCACAGGGAGTGTTCGGACACAGCGGCCGGTGCACAAGGGTAACTAGGCACGTGAGTAAAACATACGAAACAACACACTAGTAAGACTCCCAGAAAGCAACCATTAAGAAAATAATTCAAAAGAGTTAAAAATGAATAATCATAAGTAAGACCACAGAAAATATCTATTCAGTAAAAAAGGCAGAGGCAGCAGGGGAAGAATGGAGGAATGAATGAATGAATGCGTGAGATGGAAAATAAACAGGGAATGGCAGGCATGCACACTGTCAAGTAAAAAACAACAAATGTGATTAAACTCATTCTTTAACCAGAAGTAAAGACTGTCAGACTGCATTTTAAAAAACAAACACAGAAACAAAACAAGATCCACCCATATGCTATTTGCAAGAGACAGACTTCAGGCTCAAAGACAGAACGAGGGGACATGGGAGAGGGTGGAAGACCCTCGCGGGAGACAGAGGGGGGCGGCCTGGGGACGGAGTCCAACCCGTCAGAAAGGGGACGGCTGCGAGTGCAGCTGCACACCGCAACACCGGAGGGAGCCGCACAAATGCACAGTCCTGAGGAGAGAAATGGGTAAGAGCTGGGACTCGGCGCTCCCCATGCATACCGGACAGGACTGCGGCACGGGCGCCCGCAGAGAAGGGGGGCCGTGCCATCGCCCAGCGTTCAGCCCATGGCAGGGCCCACAGTGTTCAAAGTACTGAGATCACAGAAGGTATGTTCTCTGACCACAACGAAATTAAGTCAGAAATCAAAAACAGGAGGACACTGTGGAAATCTACCCCCAACACGTGGAGATGAACAAGGCACTTCCAGACAGACAGCGAGCGTAAGAAGAAACCACGATGTTTTCTGAGCTGAGTGGAGGGGAAAACGTGACACAGCGACACAGCTAAGGCCATGCC